AGTAATCCCAGTCACGCTTTCGCGGACGGAATTAAGGGGCAATTGAGAGGGTGATTTGTGACCTGGAGTTGGGCCGAAGCAACGGCCGAACAGGTTGAGAGCCCAACGATGCATGGGCCGAGATGATCGACTATCCGCCCAGAGATGGGCTGCCAGAACTTGGGCCGGGCAGAACTTGGGCCAAGTGTGAGCTGCCTCGGATCGAGAAGAAGCTCGGCAAGGTAGTGCTCGGCAAGGGGATGGCTGAAGCCAGACAAGCTGAGTGACCGGCGCCCGGAAAGGCGTGGTCAACCGAGGAGACCGTTTGATCGGCAGGGAGGCCGACCAAAGGAGGTGCCCGGGCTAGGCTCTGCCGAGATGCCGCCTAGCCCGGTCCTCTTTGTGTTTATCCAGTGAGATGCTTGGGTATGAAGCATAGCATGGTCGTGGTAGAGCAGCTCGGCTGCCGAGCTCCAGCTGTGAAGTCAGGCAGTTGAGATTAGGTGATGTTCAGCAAGGTTTATGCTGACAGATGGGATAGCGGAGCCACCTGTAAGGAGACGACTGGGAGTAGATACGGGGCACAGAGGGTATATAAGCATGTCTGAGCCCCCCATACGCGACGGATGAACACTTTGTAAGGAATTTCTTACATTCAAACACCTCCATCTCTCTCTCTCTCTATCTCAAGGTGTGTGTTAACTTGATCGTCGGAGGGTTTTTCCGGCCACACACCGCCGGGTAGCTCACCATTGTTTGCGCGCAGGCGATCAGACATAAACGGAGCTCGGAAGAAAGGAGTACGGGCTTGCCGGAATATTTACTCCCCGTACAATATATATATATATATATTGGGATAGTGTCGCTTGGAGCATTACCACACCATGTGTACATGGTACTCCCATTAAAAAAAGAAATAGATAATGTCAATCTTGTCTTTCACCTAGTTAACTAAAGTGGATTGTATCAAGTACAATTGGTTTCACTCATTCCATAACTACTGCTCTTATTGATTTAATATTATATCAACATTTTGAGTTAGTAATCGGCCAGTATTGGCATCTAATCATGTGTATATTGCAGTGGGCAACTCTTTGCAGATCATATTTGGTGGAGGCAAGGTGGTTCTACAGTGGATATACACCAACATTGGAAGAGTACTTGGAAAATGCATGGATTTCAGTGGGTGGCCATGCAGGCATGGCATAGCCCATGCTGACCTGCTGCTCGAGTCTACCATGACCAAAACTTGTCTTCATAGCTTCAAGATCAATTGCTTTGGCCCAATTTATTGGTCATCTCTTATTGCCCAACTAAGCGATGATTTGGGCACCTCCAAGGTAATACAACATAGAATACATCAAATTAATCATTAATTATACATGCATTATAGAGTATAATCTTTAAAATTTTACAAACTATTCTGATTATCAAAATGAGTCTTGTGGAGGTCACGAAGGCCTTAATAGTACGCCTCTGTTGACTTTGCCAATTTTATAGAATCTCATTCCAAAATTAAATAATAGTGAGTGGGGTTCCCTTATGTTGATGTGAATGTTATCAATAAAATATCTAAAAATGATGCGATACTATCTTAGGTCATTAATTCATTTTTATTGTTTGCTTATCTTGATTAAAGGCAGAGATTATGAGAGGGGATTGAAAAGTGAATCTTGAGTTATGAGTCCAAACAAATTGATTATCTTTTAAATAATATTTTTAAATCATTCATTAATGAACAAACTTTATAAAGATGGTGTTGAAATTAAGAAATAGTGATATTATAATTATGATAGTGTTAGAATTTGGAAATTCTATAAGAGTGATATTGTAATTATGGTATAAAATCTGTGATAGTGTCAATCACATATTTAATATCTTTTTTTATCTCCGTTTCCTTTTTTGTTTGTTTCTTATTTTGTAATATTGTTTGACTATAAATATAAGGCTCTACCTCATTCATAGGTAAGCAAAATAATTCTTTTCATTCTTTTTGGTATCAGAGCTAGGTTAAGTACCTAGTAATTTTGCTTCACCGGTGGGGGGCAGCCTTGCCTTGGCCGCCCGCCGGACCTCAACCCATTCTACTGTCATATTTTCTTTCAGTATCACTTCATGGTGATCTCTTCCTTTATCCACTAGTTTATTCCTATCCCAAATATCTTTATCATAAGTTATGTGGTGCCACGCTTACTGGTTCAACATCCAATTCTATACAACAGTCCGACATAACCCCTAAACTGTCCCGACATTGATTTCGGTTAGTTTCTACAACAGTTCCGGCATGACCCCATAAACTGTCTCAACATTGACTCCGGTCAGTTTCTACAACGGTCCGGCAAGACCCTTTTAAACTGTCCCGACATTGATTTCGGTCAGTTTCTTCTAGGGCTGTTCAATCCCCTTTTTTTCCCTTTCAAAGGTGTGGTGCTGATGTATTAAGCATTTTTTGGCCTTTTTTATTTAGTAGACTACCAGATATGTTCAATAGCATTTATTTGAACTAGCCATTGAGTTTTTTCCGGCTTTGGTGCTGATATATTAAGCACTTTTTGGCCTTTTTTATTTAGTGGACTACCACATTTGTTCGGTAGCATTTATTTGGACCAGCCGTTGAGTTTTTTCCGGCTTCTTCCAGTCATCCATTGGCAAGCTGCGTTTATTAAATATCTTCATACCAGCTTGAGGGGGAGTGTTGAAATTAGGAAATAGTGATATTATAATTATGGTAGTGTTGGAATTAGGAAAGAGTATTGTAATTATAGTAGTGTGTATAAAATCTGTGATCGTGTCAATCACAGATTTAATACCTTTTTTTATCTTCGTTTATTTTGCTTACCTATGAATGAGGTAGAGCCTTGTATTTATAATGAAACAATATTACAAAATAAGAAACAAACAAAAAGGAAACGAAGATAAAAATAAAAAAAATAAATAAATAAAGGTATTAAATCTGTGATTGACGCAATCACAGATTTTATACACACTACCATAATTACAATATCACTATTTTCTAATTCCAACACTACCATAATTATAATATCACTATTTCCCAATTTCAACAGATGGTCGTTGGTTGACATTTTTTTTTCGAGCATAAATTATAGAAAAAATTTATTTAACATCCCTCTCTAATTTTGGGTAGTCGAAAAGGTCCATATTTTTTTTTTTAAATGTTAGATAAGATCCCTCACATCTTTTATTTTTATTTTATTCAAAAAAAATACCAACGTAAACTCATTTTTTCCTCTTATCTCTCTATATATTTGGGTCTCTCTTCTCTCTCTCATCCATTTCTCTGATTTCTCACTTTTCAAACCCTAAAACCTAAATCTATCATCTCCTCACTCTGCCACACTACCACATCCGCCTCCTTTCACTCCAGCGACTCTTTCATCATTGACTCCGAATTCTACTCTGGCATCATCTTTTCATTTATCTTTTCTCTTCTCTCTCTATAGATTTGGATCTCTCCATCACCTCACAATCTTCTCTTCCCAAATCCTAGAACCCAAATCCACAATTTCTTCATTCTTCAACATCGCCACCTCTGCTTCCTTCTATCCTGACGACCATTTTATCACTGCCGGTCTTGTCTATGTCTTTGACGCCAAGTTCCGAACCCTCTCCGTCGCCTTTGCGGCCATGTCTACCCCATTGACCTTATCCACTACCATGAGGATGGGTCCTTGATTTATTTGTTGAAGAATAAAGAGTAGGTGATCATGGACAACAATAAACTCAAATCTTAAGGAATTTGGAGAATCTGTTGAAATTTCTCTAGATCTATACCATAGAAATTTCACTAGACCTATATCAGGTAATTTTCTTTGGACCTATACCAGAGAATTTGGAGGACTTGCTGTAATTTCTCTGGATCTATACCATAGAAATTTCACTGGACTTATACCAGGTAATTCTCTGAACCTATACTAGAAAATTTGGAGGACCTGCTGAAATTTCTCTGGACCTATACCAGAAATTTCTCTGGAGTTGTACCAAAGAAATTTCACTGGACCTATGGCAAAAATTTCTCTGGACCTATACTAAAGAATTTGGAGGACCTACTAAAATTTTATTGGACTTATACCAAAGAAATTTATTCATGAAGAGAATTTTTTTTGAAATTTCACTGAACTTATACCAGAGAAATTTTACTCAAACCTATGTATGGAATTTCTCTGTAATATTGATCATCTTTAGCCATCACACACTTGCAATATGAAATTTCTTTGGACTTATATTTGAAATCTCTGTCATCTTGATTATCTTTGAATTTTCTCTACAAACCTAGTCAAAGAAATTTACTTGCATGTTGATTTTTTTTTCCAACACATTTGATTTTTCTCTAAAATTTCTCCGCAAATGTAGTAAAAGAAATTGACTTGCATATGTTGATTTTCTCTACACGTTTGATTTTCTTAGAAATTTCTCTACAAATGTAGTTAGAGAAATTTACTTACATGTTGATTTTCTCTAAATCATTTGATTTTTTCTGAAATTGCTATATAAATGTATTTAGAGAAATTCACTTTCATATTGATTTCTAATTCAATGAAATTTTATCAATTTTTTTTTCTGAATTTCAGATCCATCATAGATCTTGTTTGATAGATCTCGACAAGGGCATTCCAAAAATATATTTTTTGTTGAAAATAGACATCTAAATCAAAAGTTACTAAATTTTTAAGTTTTGAAAAATTTCAAAAAATGAAAGACATTTGAATATAAAATGCAAGGATATTTTGCTCCAATAATTTTAGGGAGAAGAGGCACATGTTTTTGAGGGACCCGAGACAGTATAAAAGTTTGGCATGTCTTTTATCTCCTAAAATTGTAATATTAGGGACCTTAAAAAAAAACCGTAAATTATACTCCTCCTTTTTAATATTTGAAAAAAATATACTGTAATTAATTTTATATTTTTAATATAATTATATCACATTCGTTTGAGAATTTAATTTATATAATACCTAGATTATTTTATCAATATTTCGTAACAATGTTATATGATGGATAAGGGTGTGACAGAAGAACAAGCACGAGATCATATTAAAGGCGTTATAAGCTTTTCATGGAGAAAAATTAATGAGACAATTGCAAAGAATTCAAACCCTCAATCCATAATATTAACTACTTTGTCACTAAACATGGCAAGGACTGCCCAGTGCATCTACCAACATGGTGATGGTGCTGGTACGTCGGCTGGGGTGACCAGAGATCATTTGATGTCATTGATCGTCGAACCTATTGCAATGTTCGACTAAAATCAAGGAACAGTGGCAGGAATGTATTACCCAACAGAGAATCCTACATGTACACGCACAAATGGCTCCTAGGGATAGATAGTGATGGTCCACATGTAGCTCTTGCCCTGTTTGATATGGTCCTAATAACCAGCAGGGCCAATACAACCCTGATCAATGATAATCAACACCAAAATCATAAATTCAGTCATGGTGATCACGTATAATCAATCAGCATGAGACTTGTAAACTAGAACATTCAAATACCAAAATAAATCCCAGGAGACAGAATTAACAACAGAATTGATTACATAAATTAATCAGAGTCATACGTACAAGATGGTGAGACCATCCATTGATGAGATTATTTCACTCAAGTTGTTCCACTTGTGTTTTCTGTAGTAGATTCTATAGTCAGTTTGTGTCGCTAGACTTATTGTTCACAAACCATGTATGAAGGAGGCAAACCAGTGAGCGTTGTCTGATAGGCGATGCTTTTTGAATCTCCTCTTCAATACAAATGTTGCACTCACCAACCACGTTAGCAAGAACATGTGAAAGACCCAAATGGTGATTTCAAAACCATTTGTTTCTATCGAGCATGTAACATGCTAATGGTCATTTCATTGACTGAATTTATTGTACCCTTGCTCGATGAACAATCAGCTTCAAGTAAATTCCTTTCAGTGAAAAAGCCAGGCTGTTTGGGCCGAGGCAATACACCCTCACTACCTAACATCAAAACCACAGTTGACATGCTTGGCCTATCCTCTGGATGTTGTTGTACACATAAAAGACCCACATGTATTGATCGCAACACTTCAAATAGGTCACATGAGTCCCTCAGAGATTCATCGATCAATTCCATTGACCTGTCTTCTTTATAGAGTATCCATGCCTGAAAAATTCATAACAAAGTTAATAGCAACAATTTGAACAAATACATATGATAATGAGTACTTTTAGATTTAACATTAAGGCTTACATGACCAAGGAGGTTAAGGTGATGATCTGGATGATAGAAACCTCTGTTTCTCTTCCCACTCATTATCTCCAACACCAACACACCAAAGCTAAATGCATCGGACTTAACTGAAAATAGCCCATCCAATGCGTATTCTGGAGACATGTAGCCACTGCAGCAGAGCATTATATGAAGAATCGGATTTTGAAGCAAATGTAAGTGAATTAGACAAAAACATGTTGTAGAGATGCTTACTATGTTCCAACCACTCTTTTTGTATTTCCTGCCATCTCATTTCCTCCAAAACTCCTAGCCATTCCGAAGTCTGATATTTTTGGATTCATGCCAATATCTAGCAAAATATTGCTTGCTTTGAGATCTCTATGAATAATTCTTAGTCTAGAATCTTGATGAAGATAAAGAAGCCCCCGGGCAATCCCATTAATAATTTGGAAGCGCTTGGGCCAATCCAATAACGTTCTTTGAGTTTGATCTGGTCACATTTTTTCCTGAGTTAGACCATGATCCTGATAAATAAGTGCTTGAATTTAACAGGATTCCTTCAAGAAGTTCACAATTATTTTTTTGGTAGACGAAGTTCATGCAAGTGCACATGTAAAACGAAACCATATGATCTTGATCCCATTTTCAAATAATTAAAAAGATTTATAAGGAGCCAAAAGGATTAAATTAGAAGAAGACTAAGATGGAAGTAAGAAAGTGATGTGGTATTATAGTTTCAGGAGAGCCTAACCAAAAATAAAGTAGTCCAGACTTTTGTTGGGCATGTATTCGTAGATCAACATTTTTTCTTCTCCTTGAATACAACATCCTAAAAGCTTCACGAGATTTCGGTGCTGAAGTTTGGCAATACAAATAACTTCATTCTTGAACTCATTAGGCCCTTGTGTCGAATACTCTGAAAGCCGCTTAACAGCTATTTCTTGTCCACCTCCCAAAATACCCTGAATATAAACCAATTGATCAGTATAATAGTCTTCAAAACTGGGGGGGGGGGGGGGGGGGGGAAGAATTTCTTTTTTCATGCCACACACTGCTAACAAACAGCACTCAACTTTTAGGTTCCGTCTAAAAAAAAAACCCATTTTGAATCCTATAGCACAAATACACAATCCATATTTTGGATGGATATGTGTGTGTTCTTGGAGGAGGTTCGGAGGGTTATCTAGAACTCCACAAAAATTCATTCACCATCACTTCTATGGAAAATGTCAGACTCAATAGTCATTTCATTTCCCACTAGAGCAAGTTCATAGATAAAATTCTTCTTGCTGGTGTTTTTGCCAATTTCATATTCCAGAATTGTGGTTTGGCATTAAAAGTGGAGCAAGTTTGGAAAAATAGTGACAGAAATATTGCCTTACAAGAAGTGTCTACAATATTACCTTGTAAACAGGTCCAAATCCACCCTCTCCAATCTTATTGTAGATTGAAAAGTTATTTGTAGAATCAACTATTGTAGCTAAGTCAAAGAATGGCAACTCTAGATCTTCCTTCTGGTTTTTGTTAGGATAAAGTTGCCCAGAGTTGTGGTCCATACGTTCTGCAAAGTGGATTTAGATGAGACAGCATGTTCCAACATATTGTTACAGAACAAAAAGCATGGCTTCTTCTTCTTCTTCTACTTTTTTAGAAAAAAAAAATTAAAATTAAAAATTAAAAAGAAAACCATAGAAAGGCACATAATTACAGCACAAAATCACTCATTTGGGTTACCTTCTTTCTTGAGGTGCAATTTTTTCTTCTTTTGCCAGACATAAAAGGCAAGGCTCAGAGCAAACAGTAGCATGCCAGAGAATAGCGCTAAGCTGACAATGATTATTGTTCTTTTCTTGCTATGATAGACAACTTGTTGGTCTGTTGAATCTCCATACAAACAAATGGTCAATTAATTCAATCTGATAATACAACCATGAAAGCACAAAATTAGCAGCACTACAAATTACCATAGGCTTCAAACTAAATAAAAAAACCCTTCTACTTGAATCAACGTCAAAACCAAACTTATTGAAATCTCTGATTGTTAAACCTTAAGTAGATAAAATGAATAAGAAAAAGGCAAAATCTGTTATTTACCTATTTTTGCCTGCATTTGTATAATAATATAGCTCGACATATCTTTAATTGTAATCAAGTAAGGAACAATTATGAAGAATGAGCTAACAGGATAGGATAAATATTTTTTTTTCTACCACGGCCACGTTTTCTATATATTTTTCTGTGCACCTTGCAGTGTCCATATGTGAATCTTACCTAAATCGGAGGAAGCCATCCTTATGTAAATATTTAGCCCATTGTCAGTGAACACTCTCAAGTCAATCAGGTCATGAAACCAAAGCAAGCAGCCACTTCCACTGCCTCTCACATCTAAATTTGTATAAGCCGTGCAAGAGCAATTTTTCAAGCATACCTCTCTGCATTCCTCAAGTGTCATGGTAGTGTTATACCAGGACTGTCGTGTGTCTGGCATTTTAATTCCAGAAAACTTGACAAACCCATCATTGTGGCAATCCAATGGTGTCATCCGAACACACCCGCTCGACCAATCTGTCATATCCCAATTTTTGGGGTCTTTGGGCACAAATTTATCACTCAAACAACCACAAACAGGGGATTTGTCAACATTACAAACACCGTATGGACCGCACAATTTATAACTGTCACAAGTATCTTGTGGCACAGTCAGGTAAAGCATCCAACCGTGCGTTCGATCAATCCATGTCGAGCGCTCTCCAATTCCATTCGGATTCAAGACAAATCTCGAAACAACAGAGCTATTAATGAGCTCATAAGTATAGTACACCTCATCATTTTTAAAAACAACTCCATATTTGTAAAATGGATTAGGTCTCAAGTGTGGACCGCTGAACCGGACACCATTCCAGGGTCCAGAACGAAACTGCTCGGTGGAACCCTTGCTCAAAACAAGTTGCGGATACCGGCGAAGATCCAACCGGTATGTGTACCCGCCTTGAGATGGATCAACCTTGCTCTTCCAAGACGAGAGGTACCATTCTTTACCAGTCACAAAGTTCTTCCCAAGCTTCATACCTGGTAAAAAAGTATCACCCGGATAATCAAAACTCTGCCAGAGGAGGAGGTGCTCTGTTTCTGGGTTTTTTTCATCATTCACAACAAGATTGCCTGAATCAAGAAGCCGGGCTACTGGGTTCTGCGCGGAGATTGAGGAATTTGTAAACCACACGGTTTGATTGAATCCATTGACAAGGACGAGAATTCCGGGGTCGATGATCTTCAAGACACCAGATTTATCAGGGATTGGGGTTTCTCTGTTGGCAACCCAAACCACAGTCCCGGTTGATATTTTCTTGTACCATATTCCCACGTACCGGTTCTTGGAATCGGCGCGGGGAGTGAAGAACCCCAATTCGAAAGTTCCGGAAGATGAAACTATGGTGTTACCATCTGTAACGAAGTGGGTTTTAGTAATGGTGGTGTCTATTGCGTTGTTGGAGATTATTAAGATGAAAAAAGTAAAGAAGAAAGAAGGTAGGGCACATGCTTCTTCCATTGATGTCCTGTCAAATCTCTTCATGGTATTAACGTGTGTCTATTGTTCATTGATTCAAACCAAATAGTACTACATGAAAATTATCAGCATCATCCTCGTATCATAGAACTAAACCAAGTCGGACTTTAGTGCTTGCTTTTTAAGTATGAGAGTAGGCAAATATAGCTTTCAGTTTGGTGAGTCGAAGACTTGGGAGTCCAATATATCGCGTGGCTTGTTGGGATCAGGCTCTGCCGCATCGCCGCACCAAGGGTGGTTGCTCCGCCGCCGCCCCACTAAACAAGTGCCGAAAGAAGAATCCTCCTGTGGGTTCATACTTGACTGTGACTGTGACTGACTTTGAATTGCCCAGCGACGTTGATTGCAAAATTTGCTTCCACAAAATCGAGCAAGGATCCTCTAGAGTGATTTTTTCCTAAAGTTTCCTAGAGTGCTACATTGTGTGGTTGAGATTTACTGGCAAGTCACATCAGAAAAATTGATGTGACTTGCCAGTAAATCTCAACCACACAATGTAGCACTCTAGGAAACTTTAGAAAAAAATCACTCTAGAGGATCCTTGCTCTTTCCTTATGAGTGATTGCGTACAAAAACAATTGATGGTGATGGAGTTAAAAATTTAAGGTAAAAAGGCACATATTAATCATAATATCTAAAAATTAGTTCTCCCGTAATAAGCAAAAAAATGTCATTAATTTTTAAATTAATTACCTAAAAGTGCATTTCTCTGTTTTATTTTCTCTTGCTTCTGTTTTGTTTCTGCTATATGCATTGGAATGCATTGGAATCTCTCCAATGTGGTGATGGTGCTTGTTTTTCCCCTCTGTTTGTTGTTTTGATTGTATTGATGCCTTCATCGATGTACCATTCCATTGATCGTTAATGCAATCGGTAGCTTTTTTTCCTTGATCAAAAAAAATTACTTAAAAGTCATATTGGTAGCGTTCATATTCTATCAAGTCTTCTTTTCTATTTTTTTTAAAGAAGATTTATTCATAAATCTCTTTTTATATACTTATTTTTCACTTACGCCAAATTATTTTTTTGTATTCTAACAAGTCATATGAGTGACATACTTATCAAAATATCCATAATAATAATATTTACATTGACAGTGTAAATGTTCATACCGTCAATGTAAATATTCACATTGTAAAATATGAATATTTATCTCACCAAATTGCTAATTGTTCAAAAAATATTTGTAAGATAAAATTGTTTATAAAATACTTTAAATATAAGAATTAAAATTTGATAGATCAAATGTCTAAATAATATGACTTATTATAATACAATAATATGTTATGAACTAATTAAAATACAATTACTTGAAAAGAGATTTCCTAATAAATCTCTGTTTTTTTAATCCATAAAATCCTATTGCCACCCACCTGCTGCCACCACCACCACCCACTCGCTACCACCCGCCACCGTCACCTACTCACCCACCACCACCACCACCCACCCACCACCATCCACCACCACTAGCTACCTACCACCTACCGTCACTACTTTCCACCACCGTCTTTCGCCGCCACTTGCCATTTCTCCCTCTTTTTTATATTTTTAAAATTTTTTAAATATTTTGTCAATTACCAAACGCGTTTGTAATTTATGTTTTTCAAAAAATAAACAAAAATCAGTTTACAAAATTTTTGTAAATATAAACTGAAAACGTAAACGTTACCAAACACACCCAAAGATGTTAGCATATTTATAAATTTATATCTACATACGTTATTTATATATTTTAAAATAATTTTACATATTTTAATATACTTTTTATGCAATTTTTCTCAACATTAACGAGAAGAGTGATTCTATTTACACATCTTATACTATTTTAGTATACTCCACTTACAGTGCACGTCACACCAACCATTGTTATACGGTTAATGGGCCTTATTTCAAGGCTCATTTCAATAATTCGAATTATTCAATTTTTAAGATATATTGACTATAATATATTTATAAAAAATCAAGCTAATCGAACATTATCAAATTGCATTTGTATCTAACAATATGAGGGATTTGATCAAAATCCCTTCATAATAAAACTTTAATTTATTAAAGACAAGTACAAAAAAAAAAACTTCTTTGAAAAGTCTATCACACACCATTATTATCAAAGCATCCTTAGTGACCAATTTAATGTTTTAAATTTTAAAATAATATAACTTTTGATTTAAATATCGATTTTTAATAAAATTAGTATTTTAAAAATTCTCTTATCAATATCTATTAAACAAGATTCAGATTTAACTATGAAATTCTTTAAAAAAGAAAAAAAAATTATCATCAAAATTGACATAAATAGTAAAATTTTACTTTGTTTTATAGTAAAATTTTACTCTGATCTACAGTAAAATTTTACTCTGATTCACAATAAAGTTTGTATAACAGAAAAATAACTCAAAAACACACTATTAGAGTAGAATTTTATTGCCATTTTGAATAGGGCATCAGCCAAAAAAATAATAATATTAAAAAAAAAAAACAACAACAATTAGGCAATTTTGTAAATAAAAAAAAAAACAACAACAATTAGAGACAAAATTTTACTTTCATATTTACAAATTTGAACGAACTTTTCTCGAATCGACATCATCAATCCACTCAAGTCACCACGACTAAACCATCCCTCCACTAAACTATCCCTCTTCTTATACTCCTAAAATTAAACACCAACCAATTGATTATTTTGTGTGCATAATTATGTGATTGTGTTGGACATTTGAACATAAATCAAAATGAAAACCATCAAAGTCATTCTTTCCCACTGGTGCTAATTTTTTCAATTCTTGAAAAAGGTGAAAATTGTTGACTCTCTCAATCTTTTTCTCACTTCAACTATCTCATCCTTATCTGCTTCTCATCATTCATATTAATGTACTTATATATAGACACACTTTCTCCAAACCCGTTCACTTGTAATCACAATTCACAATACTCTGTTCTGTGCTTATTCTTCAGAGACGATGATGAGATCAGTGCCTATTTCTTCATCTTCCAGTTCTCTTCTCGATCCGTATGACATGTTAAAAGCATCCATAATTATGTCACATTAAAAACTATTGTCCTAAAGAGTTAATCAAGGGGTTTATCCATTAAAGAATTAATAGCGTGTTCTTTTTGCATTATAAGAATATTCTGAAGGAGCTGTGGCTAAAATTTTTCAAAATATAAATGGTAGATGTAATTTGATATATAAAATTATATATCAATTGTTAGGGAAAATATGTGATTCCCTGCGGAAAAATTAAATCAAAAGCAACACAAGAATTTTACGTAGTTCCCTCAATGTGAGGTACGTCCACGAGATCGAAATCCGATTCCACTATCAACCAAAAAGTTTCCAAACGATTACAAACGAGACACGAATAGTCTCACAAAATCACCCTTAGGTGAATTCTAAATAATCACAAATAAATAAGAGGAAAGTCCTCACCAAATAGATGAACCAAAATTTTCAGAACCAGAGTTGTACAAAACCCAAAATAACGACCCAAATCAACTTTACCAAACCACCCAAACAAAGATGCACCAAAGCCTATCTCACCGAAATCAATCTGTTGCTGCTCCACAAAGCAATATACACGAAGCACTCCCACCGAATTGATTGATTTCAAATTGCTCTGTATCAGCCGTAACACCTCTTTTTTCCTTGGGAAAAACAATGCCAATAATATATTGTGAATCTTGGGATTTTTATCAAAAGTTTAGTTATTTCCAAACTGAATTGGGTCTCCACAAAATTAGATATAATATATAAAAATATATTATAACTAATACCAAACCAAATTAAACTCTTTTAATACACCAATTGGGTCCCACACTCCAATAAGGAGGCATACCCAACAATTCTCCCCCTACTAACTTAGGTGGAGACATCAACCATACCCGCCAAAGTTCGACACTTTAAATGTTTGTCCCTCGACAAAGTCTTAGTCAACATATTTGAAATATTATCATCTGTGTGAACCTTTTCGAGTTGCAACAATTTCGAATCTAACACATCACGAATCCAATGGTATCTCACATCAATGTGTTTCGATCTCGAATGAAAAGTAAAATTTTTACTCAAGTGAATAGCACTTTGACTATCACAATAAAGCACATACTTTTCTTGCTTCAAACCCAACTCTTGCAAAACTTTCTTCAACAATAACTCTTCTTTGCAAGCTTCCGTAATGGCAATAAATACAGCTTCGGTAGTTAAGAGAGCAACACGTTTTTGTAATTTAGATTGTCATCCCACAGCTCCCCCTGCAAAAGTCATCAAATACCCTGAAGTAGATTTCATAGAATCAATATCGCTGGCCATGTCAGAATCTGTGAACCCATCAAGCATCGGCTTACCATCCCCAAAACACAAACACACCTTCGAAGTCCCTCGAAGATATCTTAAAATCCATTTTACCGTTGCCTAATGTTCTTTACCTGGATTAGAGAGAAACCGACTCACTACACCAACGGCGTAAGCAATATCCGGCCTTGTACAAACCATGACGTACATCAAAGAACCAACTGCTGAAGCATAAGGAATTTTCTACATCTCTTCCTTGTCTTTCTCACTTGTAGGATATTGATTCGAACTAAGCTTGAAGTGACCCGCAAGTGGACAACCAACCGGCTTTGCTTTATTCATGTTGAACCTTTCAAGAACTTTCTCAATGTAGCTTTCTTAAGACAACCAAATCAGCCCCTCTTTGCGATCACGAACAATTTTCATACCAAGTATTTGCTTTGTCAATCCCAAATATTTCATAGCAAAATACTTGCTCAACTCCAATTTCAACCTGTTTATCATGGTAGAGTCTTGATCCACAATTAACATGTCATCAACATAAAGCAAAAAAATAATAAATTTACTATCTTAAAAAATTTTCACAAACACACAATGGTCCGAAGTGGTTTTAGAAAACCATTATTTATCATGAAAGAGTCAAATTTTTTGTACCATTGTCGCGGGGCTTGCTTGAGGCCATACAAACTTTTCTTTAATTTGCAAATAAATTTCTCTTTTCCTTTTTCCACAAAACCTTCCAGTTACTCCACATAAATTTCTTCTTCAAGGTCCATGAAGCAATGCGGTCTTCACGTCAAGTTGCTCAACTTCAAGGTTCATACTTGCAGCCATGCCAAGTACAACCTGAATAGAAGACATCTTCACAACCGGCGAGAAAATCTCATCAAAGTCAATACCTTTCTTTTGCAAAGCCTTTCACAACACGACGTGCTTTGTACCTCAGATTCTTGGCATCATTCTGCAATTTGAAAACCCACTTATTTTTCGGAATTTTCCTCCCCTTAAGCGACTTCACTAAATCATAAGTGTGATTTTCAAGTAAGGAATTCATCTC